GATAAGGTTTAAGCATTAGCTATTGCAAACACCAATATATTTTTTTATCAAACGACTTAAGATTTACTTATTTACGTTTACGTTTAATTTTTTATAAACTTCTATTTATGATTATTATGACGAAATCTGAGTAGTTGATTTTGACAACTACTATATATAGTAGTCTTCAATCGTTGTTATATCTTGTCAATTGTTGCTACGATTTTCATTTTGAAATTTTTGATTTGGTTAACATTGAGTAAAGAGCAGTACAATCTCTTTCATTTAAAAATACCAATTTCAAAATTAAGTTCTCATTTACTAAAGTATTTAAATTTAATAAATTGTTCTATTAAATTGATTTCATATGATAACTATCTAATGAATAACGAAACATTGCTCAGTTTAGTTGATGTAAATATGTAAAAATAGCAGCTAATAGCATCAAAAAAGGAAAAAATATAAAATGAGAAACACCAACTAATAAGCTATCCCAGATATACTTTAACGATGAATAAATTGTGATATGATCGCTGGAACTATTCATGACTATGTAATGGCAAATAATCTTGAATGAAAAATTTTTTGGTAGAATAAATACAGCTCTGAATACCAACAGTTGAAATTTTAGCGATAATAGAGGCATGTCGACTAAGTGCAAGTCTCGTCAAGGACATATGTTGTGTTGCCATTTTCATTGACACCCAAACGGCAATTTAATCCTTTCAAACCTACATTATAAAATAAAAGTTTGGTAAAGAATGTAAAGCGGAAATCATCAACTGAGTCTTTGGATATAGAAACATTTAACCGATTTAAAAAGCAAATGGCTTGTTCCATTTTAGTGCTTCGCTAGATGTATTCCTAGGGTTACGGATTTATGTTCCACTGAAAATCATTAAAACAAATACTTACTTCTATTATTTTCAGTATGCACATGACATAAAATTTTGTCACGTGTAACTTACCGATTAACTTGACCCTCAAATAACAAGAGTAGATCTTGGGAACTTGTTAAAAGGGACGCGCTGGTATATTCGTATAATTTTATTTTCAAACGTAGTGTTTCTACAACAGTTCCTCCATTCATTTCTATTAAATCAATGCTACTTAAACTGTCACAGTTTTAAGTGCACTAAAGTAAATTCCATAGCATATTATTCTATTGTGAATGTAAGAATGTGAGAAAAGTTATAACAATTTTATAACACAAGAGTTGGATTGTCAAATATATTTAAATAAAAACTATATTTTCCCAACAAAAATTCTACTTTCACTTATAGTATTGTTAATAAATGTTTATTATTAAGAATTATTAACTGTAACATAACTTATTATTTTTATAAAATGATAAAAAAAATATGCTAAAAACTTCAAAATGTAGCACAACATTTTTAAAAACGTTTTGTGGACGAATATCCACATCAAATAATAATTATCTTTTATTATATGTCTTAAGTTATCTATACTATCAAATAAAACCTCAAATCTGCATAATAAATTGTAGATGTATAAATGTTTGCGCCACTTTCATTTTTAAGTAAATCACTTATAAGCAACAAATAAAATAAATTATAATTCTCTAGGCATTTATATATTTTTCATTACAAAATCCTACATTTGACTATTCATAGTTGTTCTAAAAGATTTCGTTTAATGTATTTTAATGTCGTTTAATATTGTAATAATTGAAAATGAATAAATATTTTCTTCATATAAATACGGGATGACGGGATTGATCCCATCTATATACATATATTTGAAAATACTATCAAACTGTAGATTTCAACAACATCCAAAAGAGTAGAATGAGAAGAGAGTTTAATGTCTTAATTAAATTCAATTCCAAACATTATTTTTTTAATTTTATTTCGGCGTGTATTAAGAATAAAAACAACAACCTGAAGCCCAGTTAAAATTATTTTATAAAATAAAAAGATCAACATTTATAGTCATTATAGTCGTTATAGTCATTGTACTAATTGATGGGGGAGGGGAGGCATGGAGTCAATTTTCATTCCTTTACAGGAATAGTGTCAGTGTCAAAGAAAATTCTAAATTATTATTATTATGCTTAGCTTATTCGAATTTTATATTAAATTTACAATTTTTATTTTATTTACACTAGTTAAAACAAAAAAAAAACAAAAAATAAGCTACTAATGACTATAGCCTATTTGGTCGTCTCCCTAAAGTTTGGAAATGTATAAAATAATTAAAAATATAAAATCATTTGAACTGGACGTTCTTCAATCAATCTTTCTGGACGTTAGTGCAGAACGCTGATCATTTTTGTTGTCATCCTCATCATTAAGAAAATTTATGATTGTTTTTCGCTAGGATCTGCTGTCTCAAAAATAAAGCATTTTCTGCTTTCTTCGGGACATCTAACCAAGTAATGTCCTAAGTTTTCGATATTTCCCATATAACACAATGATCATAAGCATGTTTGATGTTGACCTTAATTATTACCATTTATTCAAATGAGATCCAGTTAAATTGAAATATTAATAGTGTAAAATTAATTATTTTTGTTTAATTTCTTCTTAAAATAATAAAAAAAACACAAAGTTAAAAATTTTTTTTGTTTGTTTAGTTGTTTTATTTATTTTTATGTATTTTTAAATTTTTTTACATTTTGTTTATGCTATTGAAAATTTGAAATAATTAAAAATATATTATTAATGCTGCTTAAAATATTTAAAGAACTAAAAGGAAATATATTGAAATTGAATTAAAAATCCATATACATAAACTTTAAAATATAATTAAAATATTTGCAAAAATTGAATAAAATAATTTTTTATATTTAATAAATTTAATTTTTTATCAACGAAAGAAATCATTACAATTTCCTTTAAAATTATTTATAAATAACTGCTCATACCTATTAATGTAATAGAAAATAAATTAAATGTTTTTTATTTAATAATTTTTAAAATTGTATAATTATTCATCGTTAAGTAAATAATTGCTTTAAATTTCAGTACTTAATTTTTAACTGTTAATGCATTTAAGTAATGTGTCAAATTTATTAAAATATAGTACATATTTCATAAAAAAATATAAATATTTAATTATAAAAAAAATTTTACGTTGGGCAGTTAATTCTTGGCCATAGCTTCTTTAATGCTTTGTCGCCATAATTATTGTTACCTTTTAGAATTCTCTTCTTTATGTAATTGTAAATAATTAATTTACAATTTTTCTAATTATAATTTATTTTAATAAAGTTTTTCGTTTTTTTTATATAAACATACATTTTATTCAGGCACTTTTTTATTCGTAACTTTCCGTGCAAATAATTTATTTTACTTTTGTATAAAAATAGTTCGTTTTATTTTAATTAAAAAATATTTTTTCAAAATTAATAATATATATCTATTTATATATACTTTATGTAGTTTTTATTTAGATAAATTAACTTATTTACTTCGTCAAAATTTCTTCATAACTTATATAAAGCCCTACGATAAATATTATTTCATTGTTCAGTTAGGAAGCCGTCTAATAAAAAAGCTAGGTTCCTCTTGGTGTTGTAACTAACAACAATATTGGTGGCTTATAATTTTTAAAGTTGTATAGTTTTAATTCGTTTTTGGGATATTCCTCAAACAATTATAAAAACTATAGTACTTAACTCTTTGCCATATTTTTATTTTAATTTTGTATTTGTAACATTTTTGTTTCTTTTTTATCATTAGGGTATACGCAATCTCGAAATCTCGACCAATATGTTTTCCGAGTATTGCAGTAACCATTAAATAGCATCTTACAATGTTATTCGGTTGCCTAACTAGTTATTTGATATGGTAAATACCATTATTGAAGTTTTTATATTAATAGCTCTTCCATTCAGTAAGATTTAAAGGGATTCTTCCACTTTCAAAAAATTTTAATAATCGTATATAGTAAGGACAAAGTAATCATCCACTTTAAAATGTTATAAATTAAATCATTAATAATTTTTGATATCGAAACGGTAGACTAACAAGACAGTATGTTTAGTTATACGTAATGCTTTCAAAATCCATTATTTCATTCTGATATGTTATAGTTTATTTCTCATATATCTTCACTTCAGCTGAAGTTCCTTTAATGTGTATCAACACTAATCATACTTCAAAATAAATTTTTTTTCCCGTACTACACCTCATTAAAATATCTATTAAGATAAATTAACTTCTTAAGTAATTTACTTTATTCAATTCTTTTATAATAACTGAAAAATAACTAATTTTATCTTTTATTTTATCATTATGATTTTCAAATTAATCTGAAAATATACATTTTTTTCATCATCAAAAGGGTACTCACAATGTAATTGTTAATTTGCCATTTGGTATGTTCACAATATTGAAATTTGTTACTAGTAAGATGATGTACTACTACATCCTCGGCCTTATTAGAGTTTCGGAACAGTTTTTAAATAAAACCAGTGAAAGTTCATTGTTAGGCGTCAATATCACAATGATATCATGTTATTTAAGTGAGTTGGTTAATTATGCCCCCTGCTCCAAGAACTTAACCTGACCGAATCTATATTCCCATATTTTTAAAAGACATACTTAACTGAATTTATTAACGCAAATGCTGTTCTCATAACTCAAATGTGAACAACAATAAAAACTTATGCCCTGTGGTAAGTTATAATAAAATCACTCCATCCTATGATTATTAAATCCAATAGGACACAATTGTGAATACCCCTGATAACCCATAAGTTCTTTCACTTCTATCTTTATTTTTGGCCACTAATTGACAATTTCTGCCCTATAAGTGACCAGTTTATATGCAAGTGATCTTTCACTAATTGCAACAAAAAATTTTTTTTATTCAGCATTTGTTAGTTTCTTTCAAATTGATATTCAATTTTCTTAAATTTCTTATTCCTTTTCAATAACTCTTTTCTTAATTTATGCGATTTTCTTATTTATATTCATTAATTTTATTAATTTTTTAATAATTAAAAAATAATTTTATAGCTCAAGGTTGAGAGAAATCTTAAAATATATAGCGCAAAAATTAGCAAAAAAAAATTCAAAATTAGTTCAATTCACTAAAAGTATAGAATAAGTATAATAAAAATAAAAATAAAATAAGTAAATCTCACTTAACCTCACTTTTTAATACTAAACTCAAATTACAAAACAAATATCGGCATTTCCGCACTGCCATTGAACTCTAGCAGTTAGCTGGTCTGTTTCGATCGAGTTGACCGAATTGATGTGACGTAAAACGCTTCAGCAGCGCCAACCGAGCTGTGAATTTTCATAATTCGCTTTCATGATGAATGCGTGGGGCTCCAATTGTATTGTCCCCTTGCTGTATTACTGCTAAGTTAACAATAAACCTTAACATATAAACTTAATTTGTTATTTATTTATGTTAACTTAAAACATTTATTCCCTGGCTGTTTTTAACTCTGCTTAATAAGACAATATTTCCCTACTTAAAATACAGCTATACAGGCTTACTGCCGCTCATATTGGCGGTGGACCACGTATGTACCGCAACTGTGGTGCAAAACTCATAGAAAAGTTATTGAGGTTGTCACAACAGTTTGGCTGCATAAGACAAGCGGCGCAGAAAACGGTGAATAATGCCAATTGTACTGGTACCGCTGCTCTAGCTATACGACGTGCCCAACTATTTTTGGGCGTTTTGTTGTGTTCATCATCGGAAGAGTCCATATCAAATTCCAATGCTGGATCGTCATCTGATGGATCACCGCTATCAGGTGCGCCCGTTAAAGCTAAAGCTTTAGTTTTATGCTCTGTTGCTTTCTTGTTCGAAGTACCGCCTTTGTTCGCTGCGTTTTGTTCACCATTTGGAGGTCGTTGCTTGCGTTTGTTTTTGCGTTTGGAAGCTGCATTTTGTTGTTGTGCATTTTGTTTACCATTCGGTACATGACCATTACATTTGTGCTGTTGTGTGTTTATTTGTTGCTCCAGCTGCTGTTGCTGTTGCTCCACTGTGCTTTCATTGTTCGGTTTTGTAATTTTTTGTTGTTGAGCTTCCAATTGTTGTTGTTTCATATTTTGATGCGATGTTGCGGTGCGTACGATTAAGTCACGACAAGTGTTTTGTAAATTTTTCAAATCTGCTTCAGCTGATTCCATGCGTGCTGCAATTGATTTGACAGCATTACTACCTGGTGCTAATGATGATTCCAGTTTCTTTGCTAAGCGTCGTAATGCGCTCAAACGTCGTTCACGTTCTGATAACCCACCATCAGAAGTAGCACCACCATCGGATATACCTGAATCTGATAGCGAACCATTGGATGCTGTAAATTTTGCTATGTGCAGCATATGGTTTGGATCCAAATGTTCATGTACAGCGGTGAGCTAAAAATAAAAATATATTAAGCATTATAAAAGGAGAGCCAGAGACAGAGAGTAATCAGTAGCAACTAACCTGTTCAGGACTAACATGCACATTCTCTGACAATAATTTTGCCACCAATCTTACATTTTGTGCCAATTCAACAGGTGTGGTTTGACCTTTATCCAAAGCACCTTCCAAACCTTTCAATGTGCCACGATCCTGACCGAGAACAGCATGGAATTCCATAAGCCCGGTTTCCAACAAACGCCAAGCTATTATAGATTCTTCCAGCTCGCTAATCATGCCGTTTACTCTAAGATTAAAAATATAAGAAAAAATATATTTTGGATTCGAATATACCTAAACTGTTTAAACTCTATAATGCTTTAACACTTGAAGAAGACCATTAAATGTTCGCAAACGATCGAACATCTGCAAACGATCGAACATCTGCAAACGTTGTTCAAACTATTTTATTCACTGTGCTCAAGTAAAATGTTCGAGCACAAACATATTTGAACATGACAAAGCTTTATAAAGTTCTAATAATATAATATATATAACATATACATATATACATATACACATTTACGTCATAACTTATATCTCTATTTTAGCACAAAACGTACCTTTCACTGGCTTCATCCCAAGCGCGATACATATCAGCAACTTCATCCTTCAAATGTTTGTAGAACTCATTCTCTGAATTCATTAGTGAAGGTAGATCCCATTGCTTATCCAAGTTAGTAGTTGTAGTTGCTATTGCAACTGTAGATGTAGCTACTGTGCTGGCATTTGAAGTAGTTGATAGTGTTTCCAATTGATTACCATTACTATCCGTGACTGTGATTCTCATTGTAGTTGAGTCTGGTGATGCAAGCGGTGTTGCTTCATCTGGTTCCATTTCCTGCCTTAATGCTACTTCCATTTGTTCGGACTCTGCTTCTTCTTTTTCTTCTACTAAAATTTTATTCTCTGCAGCTACTTTAACTGAAGCCTCTTTCAACTCTTGGTCAATCAAAGCTGCCTGTAATTTCCGTTCCTGTCTTGTTAACCAACTGTGCACGGATGCATTCAAACGTAGCATGCTGATGCGATAGTTTTGCAATTGCGATTTTTCATTCTAAAAAAAATAAATTTTTTTAATTATTTTTAATTGTTTTTAAAATTTTTAATTGATTAAATATTAATTGAACACAGTATGTTTAAAACAAAAATAATTATTTATAGTTTTAACAATAAAGAGAAAGTATTTTTTAAATATATGTTATTAAATGGAAAATATAAACATAAAGCATTAAACTTTACAGTAAACGGTTTAACGATTGCCTGTCAAGGAAATGTTTGCAAAATAACTTATTTATTATTAAAACTACTTTATTAACAAAAATAATTGATTTTATGAAGTCATAGCTTCGACCATTAAAAAGGTAAAGTTTAAAAATGGATAATAAGTAGTATATTAATTTAATTTTTATTTATTAAGAAATTGAATCTGTAACCTCACATGAATTGGTTCAGTCATATAATTTTATGGAAGAAGTTTTTGATCAATAATCAGAAACATTATCAGTTGTCATAAACTTCATAGTAAGATTATCTGTCAAGACTATATGTGCAGTTTTGATTTTCACGATGTATCTAAAGCATAGTAAAGGTAATCGTACTATTTAAAAGCTGATTTGTCCTTATAACTAGAAAGAGACATCCTTCATAAGTAGGATAGATCTAAGCTTCCAGATTATAGTATACAATTTTGGTAATATTTAATAGAAAAAAACTTTCATTTTAAGTGTTTTATTGATTTAGAATATTTATTGAGTGAACTATGTACATTCTTTTTTATTAATTTCCTTGGGATATTTACTAAGGGTTTCTGGTTTTGATTCTAAGAGTGTGAAGAATATTTTAAAATCGAACTTTTCATAAGAAAGCATTTTTGGATATATGGAAATATTTAGGAAAATTATTTTTATAATTTTTCCATTAACTCCTACATAATAAATCACTACTTCTGTTTTTATAAGTGATTTTATCACTTTTATTTTAGCATTTGCTTATTATTTTCGTTGTGAAAATTGGTTTTTAAAAGTTCATGGTTCCTGAAAAATTGATGATCAGTAACATCGTTGTTGCCGTTATAGTCCTTAAAGTACCTAAGTCTGTTGAACAATAGTCTCCCATTATTGAAAATTTTTGAAGATTGCTAAATGGGTGATAGCATTCTTTGTTCACATGACATTAATTTTAGGTATTTTTAAATGTAAAAAAATTACGCTTTCAGTATTCTGTTGATAAAGTAAGTTAGTAAAGTACCAACCTTTTAATTAATTTGAATTGAGCTTTATGGGTTTTACACTTTTCACTGGGCCAAGTATACTATCTTCTCCTATAAAAAACTACTACTCGGTATTTTAATTATTAAAATTTTAATAATTAATTATTAAATTAATCATTTTATAAAGTATTAGTGTTGCTGTAAAGCTAGACTTACTTTGTATAGTGACAAAGAAGCTTTATTAAATTTTTAGAAGGGTTTTCGAATAACAAAGAAAGAAATAAAGGACAAACACAAAAATTTATTTTTAACTTTATTGAAATTTGGCTGACCATACAACGCTGTTTCGAGTATTGCCAAGTACTCTTCATCAGTGGTCTTTGGGAATAATCGAATTTTTTATTTAATTAGTTTATAGTCCGTATATAATTTGTTTGGACTGCAAGTGCCAGGCTTAGAACTCGTGCCTGTCAAATTAGAAGCGATGACTAATCGTGTTTATCCACAAGAAGCCAAGGCTGCACAAACTTTCAATGCTCAAGTTCCAGGTTTTATTGTCACTTACTTTTATTTAATTAGTGACAACAACCAAAGCACTTACCATGCTTTAAATTAGAACGAGCTTATAAACTACAGCTTTATTTTTGGAAACACAAGTTCAACGAATTGAAAGTTTAACTTTTTGGGTTTTGTTTATTCTTTATTTCTTTTCAAAGCTACTCTTTTTGTAGAGACATTTTATAATGCATATTTTTTACTTACTATATGTAAAGCGACCATTCTGGTGCTTTTTACAAAGAAGCTATGCTATGTTATTCTACAAATCCGCTTATTGCGGTTAGGAAAAGCTGAACAATATTATATTTTAACATATTGTTCTTTACTTTTCACAAGTCTGATATTTGAATAAAGTATTCGTGGCTGTAAAGCACTTTGGCAAGTGCTTTGGTTGGTGTCACTAATTAAATAAAAATAAGTGACAATAAAACCTGGAACTTGAGCATTGAAAGTTTGTGCAGCCTTGGCTTCTTGTGGATAAACACGATTAGTCATCGCTTTTAATTTGACAGGCACGAGTTCTAAGCCTGGCACTTGCAGTCCAAACAAATTATATACGGACTATAAACTAATTAAATTAATCAATGTTTCAATTTCATCCTGAAATTTGCAGAATATTGATTTATTGACACTATGCTCACGTTGACTCTTATTAAAAATGCAACAATATATAGTGTTAGAGCGGTTAAAGTCAAATTGTTAATATTGTAGGATTCTGTAGAATTATTAATTGATGTGTTATATGATTTATATATTATAATTTATTATATTTTAATCTATTGTAAATCATATTGTATAATTAAATTATTATAATTAATATATTATATAATTCATATATATATATAATATTTTATATGGTTAATATATGGTTAATTAATTTACCTAACTAACCCTGTATAAGATGTAATCAAACCAACGGTTCTAAGTCTTGTTTTATTGCCTTTTGTTTTTTGCGCTCGAGATGAGCAAATTTTATTGTTATATTTTTTGGCTACAAGTAAACTCCGTTGGTTTGATTCTGTCTCTTGTTTTTCGATCGCGAACGTGTCAACACACGGGTACACATAAAAAAGTGATTAAACAATCAATAACCGAAATTGTATAAATTCAATTGTATAAACTAAATGAAACCAAACCCAATTATAAAAACGTTTATAATTTACATTGTGTTAAAGAAATTGAAATAAAGATCATAAAACCCAATTATAAAAACGCTTATAATTTACATTGGCGACCGTGACAGGACTTTTTGCAATTTCAATAGTGGTTATTAAACTCCAATTTGTTAAAAAATCTAAATATTACCCACGTGTGGTAATCATTTTTTCTTTAAGTTTGTAATCATTAGTGTACGCGTGTGTACATTTCTTCCACACAGCTATTCTGTGGACTGTCGAACGTATATTATTGTGCAATTGGTGGTTCTCGGTTTAGGTCCGCTAACCTCAAAACAGAACCTCGTGTCCGCATCAAGATCGCGCTCGACATTACAACAACAAGATACCTTTACTTGTTGATTGTACATACTTTCGCTGTTATTGGTTTTGGTTAATTTGTAACCATAAAGTGCGCGTGTGAATACTTCTTCTAACCAGCTATATAGCTAACGCGTGCTAACCATTATAATATATCGTACATCTATATATATATTACCTATGTACTATCGTACGTATATACTCTTGTGCAATTGGTGGTTCTCGGTTTAGGTCCGCTAACCTCAAATCAGAACCTCGTGTCCGCATCAAGGTCGTGCTCGACATTTAAAATAACAACAACAAGATACCTTTACCTGTTGATTGTATATACTTTCGCTTTTATTGTTTTTGGTTAATTTGTAACCATAATGTGCGCGTGTGAATACTTTTTCTAACCAGCTATATAGCTAACGTGTGCTAACCATTATAATATATCGTACATCTATACATATATTACATATGTACTATCGTACGTATATACTCTTGTGCAATTGGTGGTTCTCGGTTTAGGTCCGCTAACCTCAAAATAGAATCTCGTGTCCGCATCAAGGTCGTGCTCGACAGTTAAAATAACAACAACAAGATACCTTTACTTGTTGATTGTACATACTTTCGCTTTTATTGTTTTTGGTTAATTTGTAACCATAATGTGCTCGTGTGAGTATTGCTCCTAAACGGTTATATATCTAAAGTGTGCTAACTTTAATAATATCCTACATCTGTACATATATACTATATACTATCGTACGTGTGTACTATTGTGCATTCTATGGTTCTCGGCTTAGGTTCTGCTAAGCGCCAAATAGAACCTCGTGTCCGCATCAAGGTCACGCTGAACAATTACAACAACAACAACAAGTTAACTTACTTGTTGATTACTGGTTAATATTTGCTTCCAATCAGTAAGTGTACGGGTTCGTCAACGTCGCGTCTGACAACAACCACCGTAAGAGCAGTTCAATTTCGGAAAGCTCACTGTTGCTATTGTGACTTTTCGACTTCGTCAAATCCTTTGCTGTTCTCAAGTATCTACAACTGTTTCAATGGCAACGGCAGAGCCAACCACTACGGCAGAACTGTCAGAACTAAAACAACAGCGAGCCTCGACGAAAGCGAGTATTTCAAGAATCAAGGCGTTCGTCAAGGGAAAGAGTAATTCGCTCTCACAACCAGAACTGAAATGTCGACTAGGTATTTTAGAATCATATTTTAAACAAATCTTAGCTTTTCAGACGTTGATCGAGAAATTAGATGCAACTGACTCAGCTAGAGATGAATTAGAAGACCTATACGTTTCCACCAAAGTATTAATCATGTCTCAACTGCAGGAAGAGGCCCACAATGCATCAGTGCTAGACGTAACAGCAATGATGCCCACCTCAAGTAAAAAATTACCACTGTTAAAATTACCTACATTCAGTGGTAAGTACTCGGATTATAACAATTTTATTAATTCGTTTCTCCAAATCATAGATCGCGAAATATACCTCACAAATATTGAAAAATTTAATCACTTACTGAACTGCCTTACTGGTCAAGCTCTAGAGACAGTACAGGCATTTCCTATTTCGAATGAAAACTATCCAAAGGCTCTGGATAGGCTTAAATCGCGCTATGACAATAATAGCCTAATCTTCGCCGAAAATATCGCGACACTATTTGATCTACCAGCAGTATCGGGTCAGTCAAGCCAACAACTTCGTAGTCTGGTAAACAATGCATCCGCTTTGTATGGTTCACTCTGTTCGCTAGGTACAGAGAAACAAATATGTGAGGCTCTACTTATCTCGCTAATCATGCAAAAAACGGACGCAATTACACGTAGGAAATGGAATGAATCGCGTAACTTTGACACATTACCCAGTTGGGAAGATTGCTCAAAATTGTTGGATAGACATTGCCAGTTTCTCGAATCACTTGACAGTGGAAACGGCAATCAGTCATCATCACAACGTAAACCTAATAGTCTTAACTCCAAGACTAACAGACGCTCAAACCAATACGCATTTGTTGCATCTACATCTAGCAATTCTTGCTCATTTTGTTCTAGCAATGAACACCTAATACAGAATTGTCATCGTTTTAAGGCACTGGAGGTGGTTCAAAGGTTTGAAAAGGTGAAGAGCCTAAAACTCTGCATAAACTGCTTATCGCCACGCCATCATGTGGTTAATTGCACATCAACGTTTAAATGTAAGGTTTGCGCAAAGCCACATCACACTCTCTTGCATCATTCGCAATTGCCAACGAATATTAAGAGCGCGGGATCATCACGACGCACAGAACACGCTGCTATGCCCAACGACAACGTTGCCAGCCATTCCCATCTTAATATGTCATCGGCCGAGCAAATAATTCTAGCCACTGCATTGGTTTTAGTGAAGGATTCATCGGGAAGTTATCAAGTGGGTAGAGCCTTACTTGATTCATGCTCTCAGGTCAACTTCATAACGGAGAAGTTTTCAAAGAAGCTTAGTTTAGCAAAACATAAACATCGGTTGCATGTTTCCAGTATTGGTAGTTCGTTGACCAACATAAAGTATCAGACGCTCACATCAATCAAATCTCGTCATTCAAATCTTGAACTTGCTTTAAACTTTGGTATTACGAATCACATCGCATATCAACCAAGTTCTGAAATCGATATATCGTCGTGGAAGGTTCCACCAAATACACCTCTCGCCGATGAGCAATTCTTTAAATCCAAGCGCGTTGATCTCTTGCTTGGAGCTGAAAGTTTCTTTGATATTTTGTCTGTCGGTCAAATCAAACTAGGTGAAAATTTTCCAGTACTTCAAAAAACACTATTAGGATGGATTGTATCTGGCAAGTACAAGGGTCAGCCATTTGCATCACCAGCAGCAAAATGCCTATTATCAGTTGAAGATACAGTCTCCGATCAATTAGAAATGATGTGGAAGATAGAGGAAGTGCAATCGGCTTCAAAGTCATGGTCACCAGCACATGTTGCGTCATTATATCGTGAAACGGTTCACCAAAATGCGATGGAAAGAATTGTCGTTCGGTTACCATTCAAAGATTCACCAGATTGTCTTGGTTTGACACACAATATCGCCTTGCG